GAATCCCCAACCCTAGGGAAAAGGTGTAGAGGAAGGAAGACTTTCCCTTGATTGAGGAGAATTGTTTTAGAGACCACTTAGTCCAACTTGACATCCACAAGTCCATGGGCCCTGATCGGATGCACACGAGTGTTGAGGAAACCAGCAGACATCATTGCTAGGCTACTCACAATCATCTTTGAAATGTCATGGCAGTCAAGAGTGGTGTCCAAGGACTGGGAGAAAGCAAATGTCACCCCAGTCTTCAAAAAGGGCAAGAAGGAGGACCCAGGGAACTACAGACCAGTCAGCTTCACCTCAGTCCCCAGAAAAGCTATAAAATGGCTTACCTTGGAGGCCATCTCTAAACATGTGGAAGACAAGAAGGTGATCCGGAATAGTCAGCATGAATTCACCAAAGGGAAGTCATGCTTAACCAACCTGATTGCCTTCTATGATGGGACAACTGTCTGTATAAGTGACGGAAGAGGAGTAGATGTTGTCTACCTGGACTTCAGGAAGGCTTTTGACACTGTCTCCCATGACATCCTCACAGGCAAGCTCAGGAAGTGTGGACTGGATGTGTGTGTTGGAGGTGACTGCATGGAGGATGAATCGTGCCTTCTGTGAAAGAAAGAGTTTCTTGAGGAGAAGAGCAGTGACCCTGCCTTTGTCTAATGGACTGTTTGCAGGGACTGTTTGGCTAAAAGCTATAGTTAAGTTGATGCTATTGTTTCAGGACATGTTCAGGCATATTCCCCTGTGTTGGCTGTAAAGTTTTCTCCTATTGGACAACACTACTGACGATGTGTGTGTCCTACCCAATCACACCCCTTCCAAGTTACCTTATGGTCATGTACCCACCTCCCTGTTACATATTCATGTTAACCCCTCCTGGTTTTACATGTCTACTCCGTTTTTCCAGAACCCTCCTCAGCCTGCCCTATAAATACCCCCCATTTTGAATAAAGGCAGATCTGCCCCAGATCTGCCCAGGATCTACTTCCCTGTGCATCGAACCCTGCAGGTCTTGTGTCTTTATTCCTGAACCATGGCATATGTGAACAGTGAGGTGGTTTAAGAACTGGCTGAATGGCAGGTCTCAGGGAATTGTGATCAGTGGCACAGTCTGGTTGGAAGCCTGTCACTAGTGGTGTCCCCCAGAGATCAATACTGGGCCCAGTATTGTGTAACTTGCTCATTAATTACTTGGATGAAGGGACAGAATGCCTCCAGCAAGTTTACTGATGACACAAAACTGGGAGGAGTAGCTGATACCCCAGAATGCTGTGCAGCTCTTCAGAAAGATCTTGACTTGTTAGAGGGGTGGGGAGAGCGGAACTTTTTGAAATTCAACAAAGTGGGGGGTCCTGCTCCTGGGGAAGAATAGTCTGATGCACCAGTACAAGCTGGGGTCTGACCTGCTGGAGAGCAGTGCTGTGGAGAAGGACCTGGGGGTCCTGGTGGACAACAAGCTGTCCATGAGCCAGTACTCCAAGCCAAGCACTGGCCAAGAAGACCAATGAAATCCTGGGCTGCATTAGGAAGAGCATTGCCAGCCGGTTGAGGGAGGTGATCCTGCCACTCTATTCACCCATGCTGAGGCCACATGTGGGATCCTGTGTCCAGTTGTGTTCTCCTCAGTACAAGAGACATGGAGCTTCTGGAGTGAGTCCAGTGAAGGACTATGATGATGATTAGGGGACTGGACCATCAGTCTTACAAGGAAAGGCTGATGGAGCTGGGCCTGTTCAGTTTCAAGAAGAGACAACTGAGGTGGAGAGATCTCATCAATGTCTAAGTATCTGAAGGGAGGGTGTCAGAAGGCAGAGCCAGGCTCCTCCAAGTGGTACCAAGCAAAAGAACAAGAGACAACAGGCAGAAGCTAAACCACAGGAAATTCCACCTGAATATGAGGAAGAACTTCTTTGCTAGTAGGTGACTGTTCACTGGAACAGTTGCCTAGAGCAGTTGTGGAGTCTCCTTTTCTGGAGATACTCATAAGCCATCTGTACACAGTTCTGAGTAATGTGCTCTAGGGGCCCTGCTTTAGCCAGGACATTGGACTAGATGACCTCCAATACTCTCTTCCAATACAAACCATTCTGCAGTTGTGTGAAGCAGTCCTGCATCACTGGGTGCTGAGCTCCGGTCAACTCCCATATATTAAAAAGCATAGGTGTAACAGGATCCTTGGGACCCAGCATTGCTGTGCTTTCACCTGGAAGAGCCAAGAGCATTCCCTTGTCATATCACTGTCTTATTTTATCTGTAGTCTTTTTTTCCTGTAGGAAATACTATCTGAGAAATGATTATGTGTTTGTTTGTTTGTTTGTTTTAAATCAATCTAGAAGAAAGAGAAAAAACTTGGGCAATGGTCAGAGCTGTCACAATTCCTCAAGGGCCCTGGCTTGGCCTACTAAGGCCCATCTCAGCAGCAGTAATGTCTGGGCTATGTGGAGGGGATGTCAACACTTGTCTCTGCTCCAGGGTGCACCTCAGTCCTACCAACCTTATTCTCTGAGATGTCCATCTTGCTGTCACTCCTAAAGCAGCTCCTGCTGCTCCTGACTGAAATCCAGTAGGAGATGCTGGGCACTAGTGGGAATCACTTTTGCAAATTTCTGTCTTCCAGCAACAGGTTGGTCCATTCGTATTGATTACCTTATGTAGACCTCCAAAGCAGTTGGTGGCTCCTTCAATGTAACCATGAACAGCATGCAAGCTACTACTGCATTTGTACAAGATATTATTGTCTTGTTGCACTAGAGTAGATGAAAAGCTTCGAGAATTGCTATGGGGGAAAATCCTGAAGTATGAGAAAAGATCAAGTGAGCTGACAGTATAACAAGAGAACAGAATTTTAAATGTGGACATTCAAAGTGAATAATGCAATGAGTGAAGCGCAGCTAAGTAATGCTGCAGAGGGCTTTTTGATTAGAAATTGTAATTTTGTTCTTTTAAGAGCATTACTTAATTGAAAGTTAATTGTAATTGTTTTCTTTTAAAGTATGCTTATAAAATCTCACATATAATGTAAGTGGTGAATGTGGTCTTTATATATGGTAGGTGAAGCTGAAACTCAGGTGACTTGACGTATGCTTTCAACTCTGCTTTGTAACTGCCTTCAAAAAGTTACATAAAATCTCTACCCTGTTCTTGATCCATTCAATTGAGTGATGATAACCAAGAGCCTAATTCTTCAGTGCCTTGAAATCATGACTAAGCAGTGTTGTGAAAATGTACCTTAGTGTAAATAATTCAAAGTGCTGTAATTTGAAAATGCTCTACCCTTCAACATTTGTGCTATTTGATTGTTTTTGCATCTAATAATTTTGCTTAGAGAATTTATTATGTTTCCTTTTTAGGTCATGACCTGGCACAACAGTGTAGTGTTTGGGCTTCTAGGAAGCCATGAGCTTTAATGGGAGTTAAAATAAATTTATTCCCTTTAAATATAAAACAGTGTCTAAATTGGTCTGAATATGCCTTTGAAAGGTGATCTGTATATATATTAATGTGAGCTTGAACTGTGTTACTGAATTTCAAAATTGATATGTACATGTACAAATGCATTTGTGCCCACTTGTGTGTGTGTGCACTTGTACTTTATATGGGAAATGAAAGAATCTGGATTGATGTAGATTATTAAACTTTGGTCTCTTTTATGTCTTGCTTAAAGAGGTATCTCAGCTGCTTCTGGCTTCATTGGGGGATGCCACGTTACAACTATAGCCTTTTCACTGCTGAGATAGGACAGAGCTGGGATGCAGTCTGAGCTTTTCTTATTCTGGCACTTGACTTGTCCTTGGAAGCTGATAACTGACAGCTAGAATGGCTCAGGGCTGTATTATACATATAATTGTATGCTGTGTATGTATATTATATACTGGGGCACTTTGTTGCCTGTGGCAATGTGAAAGTGGGTAGAGGAAGGAATAAGAAAGTACCTTCCTTAAATAAGGGAAACAGTTTAGTGGTGTACTGTGTTTTAGAAATGAATATGGAGGTTATGCTTATGTGAACATGGGCGCATTTTTTTGTCTCAGTTTTTAATAAAATATGTTGAGATGAGACGTTTCAGTACTTTCAAAGTTAAAGAAATTGAATTTGTCAGGCAGTTTTAGTGCCAGTGTCTGTGCGAGGCAATGTTGCTTCTTAGGTTAGGAGAGGTCACCAAATGGCTCCACAGCAGACTTTAATTTAAGATGCAACTTGTTAACTGTTCTGGTGGAAATAAAATGTTAAATGTAACATTTGACTTAGAATTTGAAGCGCCTTACCTGCATCAGGGACCTCTTTTCCTTTATTCAAACTGATGCTGTTGCCTCAAGCCTGGCCTGACCTGGAGGAGATGAGGCAGCAGTTCTGTGCTTCTAGAAGATAAGGAGTATTATGTGCGGTTGTCTGCCTGTCCTGCTGCCTCTTCCCGGCTCTATCACGAGAAGAGGTGAGGGAAGCTGCTTACTCTGAGCAAGCAGCCGTGCCTCCCTGGTTCCTGGCTGCTGCTCTGGGGTTGCAGAGAGCCGTAAATGGCTTGAAGTATCTGCAGGTGACAGCCAGCAGTGTGCCTGACAGTCTGCTGCACCCACTGGCTGCACTGGGGTTTACTCTGCGTCACAACAAGCTCTTTATGCTTCTTGGCTTTTTGTGTTCAGGTACCTCAAAGATTCTAGAAAAGTCAAAGCTGCTTGTGCTATATATCAAGGAAAGGAAGTGTGTGAAGTATTAACTGGATTTTCACTGAATGAGGGCTTATGATAAAGATCAAAATGGGGGAAGAAATGTGTGTGTGATGACCTAAACCACAGCTGTATGTGACTTGGTGGTCCTTGTTCTTGGGGCGTTATCCAGTAGACAAGTCAGTTCTGACACAATGTGATAAATTCCTGCATGGTTGAAGTTTGGAGCGTGATTGCCTCTGTAACATCCTTGTCTGCCTGCCTTGGAGGTAGTCGCGTGTCCTTACCACGCTCCAGTGCAGCCTGAAGCGATGCTGACTTTTGCTCCTGTCCTTGCAGTTTGAGCGACGAGAGGCAAACATGGCCCAAGTGTCCGCTGATCCGAGTAGCACAGAAACTGCTGACCCAGAGGAGAGTTCTCCAAATATGATAGTCTACAGAAAGGTAAGGATTTGGAGCTGTTTGCAAAAATCCCTTCTCAATGTGTAAAAGGATTCCATGCCTCTTTTGAAGTCAGAGGTATATCTCAGAAGGCTTGGAGTTTTCAGGAAAGGAGGTATGTAAAACTATAGAATTGGAGAGCTTGGAAATCATATTCTGCTCAGTGAAACCATTTAAGCTTGTTAGTGTAAAATATTTGACAAAAAACTAATAAAATTTGTAACTTTTTGTGAATAGCTGTGATATGAGTTTAGCTAATCCTTCAAGATTACCAAAGTTAGCTAAAATAATTGTACATACCTTTCAAGTTTTATCACACTAAGCATAAAGCAGCTGCCATACAACAATCTTTTAGTACATTTTTTCTATTTTTATATTGTGGTTTTCTTCGTAATTAAGTTTGATTCTTTGCAGGTGGTTGTTCTTACTTCCTATTGCCTTGCTTAAATGAAAAAAAAAGGAGAATCTTCTCAAGTGCTAGGGTAAAATGAATTAGACAAAGGTACACTAAAAGCATCATCAGAGAGCGTTCTTTCACCATGATAAAATGTCTTATTCTGAAGTATGTTGGAAGCAATATAAAAGATGAAGGAAAGCAATCTATGCAATGCCATTTGCTAAGGCATTGTTTTGTTGTGGAATCGGTGTATCTGTTAGCTTTGAAATTGAGGTTTTTATTAGTTTAATGAAATAATGTAAATATATTTTATTTAGCCTGCAAAATATTTCTTATGTAGTATACAAAAGTGCTGTATAGTTCTGACAAAAAGAAAATTTCTTATACAGCTCAAATAAGCTACCATTCTGTTAACTTAAGAGCTACAACAGCAGCTCAGATCAAGTTTCCTTTTGTAGAGTGATCCTGGGTAAAATTACTGAAATGGGGTATGTGGTTCTGTTTTCTGCTTGCGTGACTGCAATCCTGATGATTTTCATATGCTGAGAAAATACTTTAGGTTTTGTGTAGAGCATAAGTCATTTAAAGTGTTACTTTTTGATAACCATAATTTTGGTTTAGTTGTTGCGTATTTGGTTTGGAATCTGGAATTGTTAACATGGGAAAATTTTCTGGGTAATGTGTAGGCTTGTTTGTTTTGAATGTGTTATGAACACACTTTTGCTGCTAATTTGGAAGTAGCAGTAGTCGGTTAGTCAGATTATCTTTTCAAAACCTGTTTGCTCGGAGGTCCAACACACCAGCAGGTTGAAGTAGATATGGGGTATAAAAGAAGTGTTTGCATGGTTGCATGATCTAGAATTAGGGCATTAAATCTGTGACTCTGCAGAGTATCCACTTACCTGTTCTTGAAAACATTGTTTTATTTGTGTGCCCCATTTTCTATTAATCTTATGGCATTTCTGCTTAAGGATTTCTTCATTTCTTTGCCTTTTACTGTTCAATTTTTGTCACTGTAGAATAGGGCTTGAGAGTTATCAACAGCTTGAGTGGTATCAACAGGGAACATACTCATACCATTTGATTCATCTCTCCTTGCTGGTGTTCCTCAGATGTCAGTATTAGCAGTCCTTCATAATGCAGTCATCTGTCAAAATACATAGTTGTCTTTTAGAATAAGCTGCTCCATGCATTGTGCAGTAATACTGTATTCTGTATTGTCAATGTTAAGCTAACACGTCAGGTTTTTGTTTTTTCTTTTGCTGAGGTTTTTGTTGCTTTATAAAAAGGGTTAATATCATGTATTTTTCAGAGTAATATTCTATTGGTGATTAACTTTCTAAATATAATTTATGTTATTTCTGGTATTAGTATTAGATATTATTTGTTATTTTAACATTATTTTTGATATTAGTTAGATGTATTACACATCAGATATATGTTCCCTAGCGCTGAGAAATCATATGCAAAATCTGAGACAAGACTTTTATTCTCTTGATTATCTCTCTCCAAATGAATGTTTAGCTCCTCATCTCTCATTTCCTTTCAAATGGCTTGATTGCTATTAATGAATGAGAAAAACACTGCACTGGACTCCCTGAAATATTGAACACAATCTGCCAGAATACCTAGCAGTTCAGGGTTGGTGTTGTGTCACGGTAGAAGAAAAGGTTTGCTTCTCACAGCAGGGATCCTGAGATACAGTTGATACCCCTTAGGAAGAATAAATAGGAGTGGGTTTCAATAACGGGACCACAGTAAATACTGCTGTAAGTGTGAACTATTTTCTTACTTATCATAACTGCCACATTTGTGGGTTTTGAGGGAGGAAAGCCCTGCAAGTAGAACCCCAAATTGTTCATACTTTCTTTACTGAGAGTCACTGAGGTCTATTTGAAGTTCATATGCCAAGAAGGTGGTTGTAGCCTGGTTTTCTTTATAGCTACTAACAAGAGATAGACACATTTAAAAGACAAATAAGACCTTAGGTGGTACTGAGTGTCCCTTTGGAGCAACCTCTCTTTGTTTTGTTTATGGAGAAAAGCCTAGAACAGGCTGTGCTCTTTATTTAGGTAGGTAAAACTAAGTGGGATGGGTTTTGGTCATGCAGAACAAAATAAACTAATTTATTTTGACTCAGTTCATGATATTCTCTATGGACTCCTGCAAGCAAATGGATTCTAACTGCTTTGATTGTTACAGCAGATGGTCTCAATGAGATAAGTCTTATTTTCTTCTACCTTCAGTGTTAACCTTTTGGGGGTTGATATTTATCCATTTGTGAGGCACGTTACTTTTTAATCCAGAATATTCAGTGTTACCCCACTGTTTTGGAAGACACCTGTGTGTGAATTAGTGCAGATGCACTTGGTAGTGTCAGTAGTGTTTAGGGTATAATTTGCCTCATCTTACCCTTGTTAAAATGAATGGTGCCTTAAACTACATGAGCTGTATTGACTAGGTCTCTGGTGAGAATCATAGGTACCTAGTACCTTGCTGTCAGCTACTTATGTCATATGATAGACATCTATAATTAAACAAGCTGCATTCCACTCTTTGGACTTGTGCTTCCTCTCATCTCCCTGGATGTGTCAGTGCGGAGCCCTAAGCTGGTTATAGGGCTATGAGTAGTGCTGCAGTAAGGATGTGCTGTAATTTATCTTGTGTGGCGTAGTGGTACTTAATGAAAAATATAAAGGTGCTGCAGATACTGCATTGCCATGTAAGTAGTGCTCTGTGAGAAAAATGTAGGAACTGTGTTTTCTTTAATCAGTCTGGCCACATCTGGAGAAGATGCTGATAAATTTTTTTGGTAGAATTGGTCCCGGAAGAGTGGTGCACAATGCTTAGTCTGTTTGGAATATGTTACCCTCCTTTCCATGGGAGCAGGGAGTGACATACCAGTCTTCACTTAAGTCTGTGAGTGTTGTGTGGGTACTGCAGCATGGAAGGAAAAAAATGCAACAAAAAGCCAGTGAGAGGAGAAAAAACACTCCTAGCAAACAGTAACAGAAAATATCAATTGATTTTAAATGTCTGTCACATTGCCTTGAAATCCAGCCACCCTTGACTGTCTTTCTGTCTTCCAAGTTCTGGTTACTGTGTCCCAGGGGCCCTTTGGCTCATTGTTCCAATAATCCACATCTGAAAATTCATCTTTTGCAGATGACATTGAAAGACAAATGGTTCGCAGACATCTTCTGGCACCAGATCTATTAGATGACCTATTACCAAAATAACAAAATAATTTGGCAAATCAAATCTTCTTACAGAAAGGATGGTAGAAAATTTTCAATTCACTGAAAGAAAAATTGAAATATTTAGGGTTTGGCTAAAGAAGAACTGAAAATATCAATAAGGAGGAGTACCTGGGGAATATAACAAGAAGGATGAAAACACAGAAATGAAAATCTGGATTGGATACTGTATATACAAGATGTACTTGTTCCTGAGAGAGATCTCTTAGGATGAGGCAGAGTTTGCAAACTGTACTGTTTAGAGATATTTAGAACCACTGTGAGCATACATGCTGTGAGGGGTATCAGAGGGTACTATCAAAGAAATGACCTGCATTGGTTGATTTCCATTTCTACCTAATTTTTGCCAGACACATCCTCTACATCTGCTCGCTAACACTGGCACTTAGTGAGTTAAATTTTGAATTCTTATGGTTACTTATCGCAAATCTTTTGAACAAGCAGGAAAATCTAATTTCCAAAGGCAATTGCTGTTCTAAGTAAATGTAACACGAACTTGCAGCTGCCACAAGATGCTTTCAGAAAAATCTGAGTTGTTTGCTACCTTCAGTACTTGGCAGCCTTACCATCTTTTTAAATGCTGATTTAAGATCTGAATTGAAATCATTAAAAAAAAAAAAAAAAGGAAAAGAAGCAAGCAGCCTTACATTAGCAGGTTTTCTATAGGCAGATTTCAGGATTCCAATTGTGGCAAGTAGCTGGAATCTTGCTGTCAGACCTGGTCGAATGTACTGATAGGGCACGAAATCAGAGAACAAGAAGTTGTGAAGACAGGTGTATGCATGCAAAAATGTATGGACCATGAGGCAGAAAGATGGGGGAAGAGACTGTTGTTACAATTAGCTGTTCACATTAATTAAAAAAAAAAAAAATAAAAACACCTGGTCTTATGAGCTAGTCAGAAGACCAAGACTGCTATTTGATTGCTTCTAAGTTATGCTGTGAAAAACCATCTTGATAGGACACTCTCCAAGCAACCAAAAGCATACGAACCCCAAAAGGGTGTAGTCAAATGATGACTTGTTGTAAAGAAAGAAAAAACTGCAGTGTTTTAAAATAAAATGGATTTCATGAATAGAACTTTTATTTTTTATTAAATGAAAGCAGTCTGCCTTTTTTGAGGTTTTCCAAACCCTTCAGGGTTTCACGCTGCTGCAGTGAAAGGCAGCAGAATCTAAAATGTATTTAAAATGTTGAAAACTTTTGATATTCTTTTTATTTGTGTCTTTAGTTGTATTTTAGGATTCTGCTGCATGCAAAGGCCTTGAACTGTATTTTTGTACATGAAATCTGAGCTTTTTACACAGTTGCTTCTGTAACTGGTTCTTTAACATAAAACTGTAAATTGA